CCAAAGTCATGTGGCTTTTAAGTAGGATGTAAAGGTTGGGTTATATTTCTATACTTAGAGCTCTGAGATCAGCATTTGTTTTTATTTCAATGCACTGCCAAAAAATGCATTATTTTTCCTGGGATATATGCACTACAATAGGGAAAATACCTTATTTTTGGTTATGGAAATGAGGCAAGTCTGTGGAGAAGATGGCACTGAAGTTAGATAATCAAGAGGTCCTTCTCATCTCATTCCATGCAGGCAACTAGTGCTGGTACCACTGTATAGTAACTCTACCAGAATTAAAAAATGGAGTCAAAAATTCACATATCTTTTCTAAGCTTTTGTGTATCTACATGTAGTCTCACTTTTCCAGTAAAATTCTACATGTATTTTATAAAGAACTTATTGCTACAGTTTGGGTTTGCTTTCTACTCCTGATTAGAAAACTCTTGAGGCAAAAAATACTTGATCCTTCCATTCTTCATAAGCACCTTGCTCCTAAGAACATCACAGTCTGTTAAATAAACACAGTCCACTCCCCATACACATCTCAACACTCTCCTATCCGACCACCTCAGAACCAGCTACAAGGACCCCACAGTTGCATTATTTAGCAATATAAATAGCATGTTATGAAAAGCAGTGGAGTGCACTCACCTTTACATCATTAATATTGTTAACATAGTTTCTATGTTTATCAGAATCTTGTAAACAAAACATTGGCATAAGAAACGATACCACCAAAGAGTTCTTGAATTATGCCATTTTTTAGGTTTGTGTAACTTTTACTAATATTTTCAGATTCAGGTTCCTCCAAATAGAACATAATGAATTCCTTTAACATTACCAATTCACATGATTTACCTGGACTGTTCTAACTACTCCTCTTAACTGACAAATCTTTCTGTCAATCATTATATTAACTACTTTACTCATAGCCACGGATTCATGCTTCATATTCCAAAAGGTCTCCAAACCTTTGTATGTCTCTAATATGAATTCTTATAGCCAAAGTGACTTTGTTACTCTATTTAAAATAATGAGCTTTTGAATCTTGTTTACTCTCTTGAAAGATTATCTAGTTGAAATAGAAAATTCTTGTTTTACACTATTACGACTTACAGTATTATGAAATAAATTTATACTTGTAATTTGAGAATTGGGAAACCATTCATTTTACAGCTAAGTCAAGCTAGAAATAAAGTTTCTTGTCCAAAACCACACAGCTGGTCAATGTCAGGACCTGAGCTACTTAAGATGATATATTTTGACAGGCACCTTCCCTCCAGCCTTTATAAGCTTCTTTGTTCTAACATAGTTTTCTAATTTCATGTCCTTTCCCCCTTACCATTATATTATTTGCATTATTCTACATAATATGAGATTTTCATGAGCATTATCTTAATGTTATATATTCAAAATTTCCATTTTGTGATATTTAATAACAAAAAGGGATGTAATTATTTATTTTTCATATAATTTATTTTGTTACAGTTAATATCTAGGACTTGGATTTCTGGATCAAATAATATTAACATTTATGAAGCTTAAAATATGTTAACATTATTGCCCTAAAAAATTCATATTGTCGCTGGCAACTTTATGCAAATATTTGTTTCAATACAACCTTGTTTGCTTTAGTTATATTTTTGGTGATTTTACTAATTTAATGTCTGGAAAAAGTTATTTTAATACATTGGCTCTTCTTTATTATTAGTGAGATTAAATATGTTCTCATATTAATTAACAATAATAATGGTTTTTCCACTTTTTTGAATAACTTCTCTCTATAATATTATTTGCCTTTTTATTTATTAGGTGTTTAAGGTTATCCTTAAAACTTACCATACTGCCTGCTATATACTGCTAAGTTTGTTACTTTTTTTTGTTTTGGTTAATAAATATTGTACATAGTGAATATGTAATTTTTTATTACTTCTAAATTTAGAACTCTTCTCAAAAGTTACTAAATATTCACTTATGTAATATCTTATAGTATTCCTATAATTTGGAGAAGTTAAATTATTTCACTTTTTAAAACATAAGAGTTTTTATTTAGAGGACATTTTGGGATAAAGGGTTAACTATTGTATTTTTTCCAGAAAGTTAATTGTCCTAGATAATTTTATTGTAAAGGATGATGTGTAATAATAGATTTTAAAAAACATTTAAGACAATTTGTAACGATTAACAGCCATTTCATATGTGTTTAGTGAATAAATAAAAAGTGAGCAACATTCTGTATTAATTTGTTAGACATTATTTTTCTATTACTGATAATTTTTTTATCCTTATTTTATCTATGATTTTTAAATAATCTATTATTTTTCCTATTTTATTATACTTCTAAAAGTGTGAGCTTTTTAATTAGCATTTACATTGATTGGATTCTGAAGACATATTGTTTTCAGAATGATTCAAAATTTTTTTTTATTGCAGTAGAACATATGTAATATAAAATTTCCCATCTTAGCTATTTTTGAATGTGCAATTCAGGGCATTCATTAATTCACACTGTTTCCAAAACTTTTCATTACCCCAATAGAAGAAACTCTGCAATCACTAAACAGTAACTCCCATTTTCCCCTCTCCACAGAAGAAATTTAAAAAAAAATGATCCAACTATATGAAGTCTAAAAGATGCTAACTTTAGGTCCTAGACAAAATCATGTAAAAGATGTTCTACACAAGTAATAACCAGAAGAGAGCTGGGTGGCTAAACTAATATGAGAAAAAATAGATATTAAGTCACTGTTACAAGAGGCGAAGAAAAGCATCTGTTACTAAGAGGATTAACTCAAGATTTAGCAGTAATAAACTTACATGTAGTAAACATCAGGGCCCCAAAATATATTAAGCAAATATTATCAGAATTGTAGCATTTGAGTTAGTTAATTAACACTTGTTAAATGGAGCACGTGGTGCCAGATGGTGAGCTGAATTTCAATGACAGACTGCAAGAGAAACAGAAATACAGAAGTTCATTACTCACAAGTCCTGAAAGAAGGGCATGGTAAGCCTCAAGGGGCCACATGGGGAGATCAAGGCAGAGTAGGTAGAGAGAGACAGGAGCTGGGGCATACGCCTGTATTAGGGTCTGTGGTGCACTGCTTTGGGGCTTCCAGGCTAGGGTTGGATTGGTCTACTCAAACAAGAAAAGTGGGTCTTGTTAAACCTCCCAAGGGGGGTTCTCATCAAATGAACACAGAAGGCCCACAGGTGTAGGGAGGCAGGGGAGACTTCCAATCCCAAGGGCTGTTGGGGAAGTCCTATCAGGACCTTGCAGATGTTTGCAATTGCTGTCTAGAGCATGCACCTACCTGAGAGGGCTGGTGTCAGTTTAAGGTGCCTTCCTGCCACTTGGCCAAACTAAATGGATGCCGTGACAACAATACTATGGAATAGCTTAGCTAAACTCTTGCTGTGGAGGGAGAAACAGACAATTCTTCAACAGTAGTCAAAGGGCTTGATATTCCACTTTCAGTAACAGAATCAACAACCAGACCAAACACTGATAAAGAAATAGAGAACCTGAACAAAATTATAACCAACTATGTCTAACAGACATACAGAAACCACTCCAGCCAACAAGAACAGAATGTACACTTTTCTTAAGAGTGCATTGACCATTCTCCAGAATAGACCATATGTTAAAACAAGAGAAGTAGTAATACATTTCAAAAGATAGAAAGATGCAAAGTATTATTAAATACTTTATAAGTAGAGTATTAAGAAACAAAATTCACATATAAAATCATGTTTTTCTTCACATAGCTTTTATGTTTAAATGCATTATTGAATCATGTTAGTACCATCTAAAAAAGTTTAATAAACATACTATAATAACATATCTTAAATGAAAACCTCTCAAAATATACTCTGGGGTTATAGACAAAAAGTACAGGCTCTTATTTCATTTCTGTAAAATCTTTGGCCCATTCAATTACGAGAAAAACATTAGATAAATTCCAAAAGGGGACATTCTACAAAATACCTGACCAGTGTTCCTCAAATTGCCAAGGATAGTCTGGCAGAGAACTGAGACACTGTCACAGCCAAACAGGGCCTAAGGGAGGCATGATGCGTAAGTGTAATGTGGTGTCCTGGATGTGCTCCTGTATCAGAAAGAGACATTCAGTTAAAACTAAGAGAAGCTGAATAAATGGTAGACTTTAGTTAACAATAATGAGCCCATATTGGTTCATTGACTGACAATGTACCACATTAATGTAGAATATTAATAATAGTATAAACCATGTGGGGGGTATTATAGGGAAACTGTACTATCTTCTCAATTTTTCTCTAAATTAAAAAAAAATACATACTTCTCACCAGCAGAGAATCTTTGGACTTGTCAATGGGGTTCCTTGGCACTATGTTATGAAACAATAAGTGAATGATTACATTTTTAACTACTGCCTTTGTTCTTGTGTAGATTTCATACTGTCTAAACTGGCTGCTGCAATATTGGAAGATGGCATTTAATCAGATAATCCTATGGACTGAGATATTATAAATACTATGACTTATGGGCCTAGTTCTATGAAGTGCTTATGCTGCTTCCATCTTATGAGGATACCACATAAATTTTTGTCCTAATTACTCAAGCTGATCTTTCATTTTAACAAAGCTACAGAATATTTGAGCTTCAAGGAAAATCACTTAATCACTTCTATTGATTAAAAAACAAAGAGTAATAGATGTTTTTGCTTATTCAGTGCTGCAGACATGTTTTAAGTGAGCTTGTTTTTAAACAAGATACTCAAATTGATTCATGTGTATATATTTTTTGAAATAATTATATCATTAGTACAATACGAAAGTTATTTCTGGAAATCAAATGATATATTGAATACTAATTTATAGCCTGTAATGTGTATTTTAATTTCCTTTTTAATACTGGGGTATAGTGCTAACTTAATGTGATTAATTCCACTGCTTAAAACAGAACTATTCAGTAGTTTGAAGCAGACATTAATTGTATTGACGTGAGTATATTTCTCTTTTTCCCTTAGGCTGTACTGTGGAGGTATAAATTTTCTCAGCTTAAAGGTTCTTCAGATGATGGCAAGAGCAAAATCAAATTTTTGTTTCAGAATCCAGATACTAAACAAATTGAAGCAAAGGTAAGCCCAAATTTATCACATAAAATGTCTCTAACTTTATTAATGCCATTAAGAAGCAAAGGGGAGAAAATTAGGGGAACCAAAAATGGCAAAAACACACATTCTTGTTTACCTTGGAATATCCCTCATGGCCAAAAGAATAAATTCACTTTAAGATTTTAATGACAAATTTTCACTGAAAGGCACAACTTAAATTGCACAGAACTAATTGCATTTAAAATACTTTTAAAATTTGGATTTTATAATTATTTATATCCTCTTTGTATACAAGTACAAATCCCTAAAAAAAATGTTTAAATCAATTCATTATTTATGAATTCCATCATTATGTTTTAAATTAAATTAACAAATGAACTTTTTTTGCTTTGCACATGCAAATTTTCAGTATTTTGAATTATATTAACTATGTTGTTTTAAGCTCATTAGAAAGGCCCACTACCTTTCTTTTTATGAATACATATAGTTGTAAATATTCAAAACCTGAATTATTTCTATTCTCCCAGAATGAAATTCACTATAACAATGTTTGGGTAAGAGTGAATTGTAAATTTATTATTCCAGTGTGGAGGAAAGGATAAATAACAAACACCAAGGTGAAAAATTAATTCCATGGAAATGCAAACCCCAATATAATGTTTCAACTATGGATTAAAATTACTATAATTCTGTTCCAGTCCTGTGCCTATCAAAGGCAGGGGTAAACATCTTAGCCTGGCACTGAAATCCTTCCCAGGAATGACCCTCTCCTCTAGTCTAGTGAGCATTCCTGTAACGCTGCCTATATTCAGAGCAGATGCTTTCACTCTCCTTTTACCCAGATGACTCCTTCCTTGTCTTATGTTTCTGCTCGTGCTTTTCTCTGCACTTTACTCCTTAGTGTTTTGTCCGAGCTTCTCTGAGAATACCCCATTCCTGTCTTACGTCTGTCCTTGGACCCATCTCACTAGGTCCTCCCACCCTGCAGTTTCTTTAAAGAAGGACTGTGACTCAGCTCCTTTTTACTCATTTTTCTAACACACTGGTGTTCACATGGTCTTGCCTTATTTGTGCCCCACCAGCTTAGACAAATGCCTTGGTGACTTCATTCACTCCCTTTCTTCAGCTTGCCTCAGACTTCTCAATTCTACCTTTCCATCATCGCCTTTTCCCTAAATATAGACCAGTTTGTGGAGCGGCCTTCTCTCCATCTCGCTACAGCCCCTCTTTTGCTCTTTGACTACACTACTGAGTGACAATGTCCTTTCAGCCAGCCAATTACAGTGCTCTTTAAATTGGTTTCGAGTGTTAAACAAAATGCATTACTATTGTCCAAAATTAATCTTTCCTTTTTGGTAGATTTCTCAACTTTGAAAACACTGGACATATTCTGACACTGGTGAATTATGTTACTGTTATCTCTATATATTCTTCTGGCTAATGTGGAACCTCCATCACTAGTTGCTGACAGCAGTACATTTGATTAAGTTACTTCTCTTCTAATACTCTTTAATGTGCTAACAAATCCTAAGTTGACAACATAAATCAAAAAAGATAAATGCAATGAAATGGCAACAAACTATAATATTTAGTTTAATGCAACATATATGCAGCTAGTTATACTTTACTAGTTACTAGTTACCTGTCAGGTTCTAAATATTATGTACTCTTGTTACAGTGTTGTAAGGCAGTATTTCGTAAGTTCATTCATTTAAAGCTAGTTTCACAAGATATTAATTGAATGTGTTTCTTAAACTTAAAGACAGCAACTTTTGAATAGTAGGAAAAGCAGTTTCAAATGAGAGAGAATGACCACTGGTGAGTTACTGAACTTTTTTAAAGTCACCATCTCCTTCTATAAAATGAGAATAATAGTACTCCCATGATAATGTTGAAAATGCCAAAGTAAATATGGAAACTATTTGATAACAAATGGCACTAACCAGTCAAAATTCAGCTCTATAATTGTCTGGCCATAGTGGTGTGTATCACCTCTGCTGACATCATAGAAACTGTACAAAAATTAAAACTAGCACAATTGATAACTATTTTACAACCTTCATAATTGCATCTAATGAGCAATAGTCAAAAGTACCATCACAGGAGAACAGCAAGGAGAACATCAGCATGTACTTTGGGACTCATGTATCAGAAGGTTGGTTGATTGCTAAAGGTGATGTCTTTTGAGGATTCAATGTTTCTTCTGTTAGAACATCACCTTAGTGGAAAGTTAGAATCAGATAGCCCTGAGGTAAAATTTCATCTTCATCAATTCTTAGCTATGTTCCTGGGGCAATTTATCACCAAATTATAACCACTTCCTTGCAGGGAAAATATAGGATTAAATATCCCCATTGCCTGGCACATAGAAGGCATTCAATAAATCACTGATGAATGATTTCATCTTTAAAGAACCTAGCATAATGACAGAGAAAGTATTTAAAAAATAGCAGCTATTATTATTAGGAGAAAAGTCAGTAAAGATGATTATTTAACATATATAAACTTGATATCCTTATTAAAATTAGGAAGTTCAAGTTTACAACCATAACCCATAACTGTCATTTATCAAATGCCTTGGACTTTTTCTGTGTCTGGTTAATTTCTATTCATTTTTAAAATTTCAATGTGGGAAGTTTGTCCTCAGTCTCTGTCTCCAAGTGAGGACCAGGAACTTCCCATACACATCATGTAACTTCTCTGTCTCTGTCTCTGTCTCTGTCTCTGTCTCTCTCTCTGTGCTGCTCTCTCCACATATATGTACAACATAACATTGATGTACATCCTGAATGGCCATTGTTCACTAGTACACCTTCTCCACTAGCTCAAGGACTTTTGAACACAAAGAACATATCTTAGTATATTGTATTCCTAAGGCCTAGCCTCATGCTGTCTAAGAGCAGGCAAGTAGTAACAGTCTCTGTTTTGGTTTATTTAGTATTTCCTGGTACCATTATTTAGTACTCCCCCCAATCTCTTTTTAATCTAGGCAAATGAAATTCACCAAGTAAACATAATCTGAATGGGCTAAGAAAGTCCATGTCTAGGTGCATGTTGGACAAGCTGAAGAAGCATTTGACATTTAATATGTGTATAACTGTGGGTGGAATTGTTTATTCTGATTAACTATTGTTTTCTTTTCTTTTTTTGTCATCTTGGTTTCATTTATACTTTCCTTCAACAGAAATAAAATGCTATAGAAATATTTGTCTTAAGACATATCAGAAAAATGACTTCTGGTGAAAGCAAAAACAGTTACCAAGTCATCAGAGACAAAATTAAAGCTGTGTGAATTTAAAAGTACTTGTGAATTTATCCATAGGGAGTAAAATAATAATTTGTTAAAACATACTAGATCATTATTTTACAGTTGAGTATTGTAAGCACTTTTCTCAACATTTTATTACGGAAAATTTTCAAATGCATAGCATACTTAAAATAATTTCCAGAGAACACCCATATTCACACTAAATTCTACAATTCACATTTCACTATACTTCTTTATCACCCATCTATCCACCCATCCCTCTGTCCATCCACCAATCCATCTCATGTTGACACATTTTGAAGTAAATTGCAAACATTAGCATTTTTCAAAATGTTGTAGTTGTGAAATGTTGTCTTTGTCCCTCCCACTGTTTCCAAATTCCTCACCCATTGTGCTTTAAATTTATAGCTGTGTATGATCTTTGACAATTGCACATTCTTAATTGCACAATCTAAATAACAGGCTAATTAAATTTTACCTTTAGTGGAAAATAATCTCAATAACAAAAAATACCTAGTAAATGAGAACTGTATATTTTGGTCATAGATCTTGAAAATTTTGCATTATAAAAAAGTGAGTTGTATATATACAATTTTTGATGTCATTATTAAGCATATACAGCATGAAATCACTTGATATGACTAATAGTTTATAAATAAATATTTAACAAAACCAATATTTATCATATTCCTGAAATTATTTACTTAGTCTTATAAAAGAGAAGAAACACTAAATATTTTTTCATAAAAAAATCAGTGACATAAAATCCCATAAATGTTTAATGAAAATTTAATTAATTTAGAAACATATGCTTTCTTATGACTAGATTAACTTGAAAAGATTAAAATGACAATGATTTCTACTTGCAATATGTTGAGAAATGTTTTGAAAACTACATGGTAAGAAATCTCAATGTACTTTTACAAGTACATTGTAAAACTTGCATGACCTTGGAAACTTTCCGTGAATGTTTTCTTATAATCAGTAATATTGTATGAGAAGATTATTTTTAGATTAAACATAAAGGACACTTTTGAGTAAAGATATGAAGACAATAAGTATTATCTCACTTGTCCTAACCTTAAGTAAATAAGACAAACTAAATGAATTTTAGTCACTAAAATTTAAATTCATATAATTCAGTTTATGTTTAAGTACCATTTATTATCTAATTTTTATAATAATCTGTTGCCCTGTAGTAGTAAGAATATGAATTTAATAGTTACTGAGCTCTGGTTTTAGCACATAACTATGATGTCTGCTGGCTGGGGTAAGTTATCCAAACTCAGCTTCAGCATCCTCCAATGTATGATGAAGATTATTAAATCCCATGGTTGTAAGACTAAGAGTACATGTGCTCTTAGACGACTTGAGAATACCAACATAGTTCTGTTACATGTTCAAAAATATCTAAATTGGAAGAAAGTGATAGGAAGAGAAAAGTAAAAAAAAGAATTTGTGTCAACAGCATAAAAGCCAGAAACATGGGATTAATTCACAGAGGAACCCATAACCCAAAACAGAGACAAGGAAGTACCGTGGAAGAGATTCTAGTGAACTTCTCCAAATAGGCAGTCCTAGTTAGTGGGGCTTGAGAGTGAACTCTAGCTCTACTGTCAGGGTAATCATTTGGAAATTCTCTGAGTCTGTGGGCTAGTCAATCCCTACTTTCTCATGTGCTAGTGCTGAGGTGGAGATTCTAAAGGGTTTATTCTCAAGATCACACTGTGAGTGTGGGTCAAGCTCTGAGTGCCCC